CCTACAAAATTAACATTATTTTTATGTTTAGCAAATCCTTGCAGAAATATGCAAACACTGCCATGTTGCAATCAACATATTGATGGTGATATCACCCTGTTGGAGCCCTTTCATATTGGAAATTGTTTTATTGCCCTGTCAAGATGATTTATTGAGGTGTAAACAGGTTTCCTGCGTGAATTCGCTTTAGTTTAACTGAGAACTCTTAAAAGAAGGTGATATCTGGAAATGTATTCTTTTCCTAATATTATGTTTTAAGTATTGTTAACAGTGTTGCTTTACAAGTAGAATTGCAATATATTGATGATGATGATGAAAATAAGATTTGGATTCCTCATATTTAGCTACTATACCTTTTTCAAAATCTGCTACGAGCAAAATTTTTTTATTGTTATTTTCTTATTCAGGGCGCTCGTATTAGACGAAAGATACACAAAAAATGCTTGGCACAAACAAAAAGTTAAAAATTATTATGTTATGTAATCCGCAAATCATTAATTAAAATTAATCAATCATATTAATTAACCAATCATACCTGTAGTTATGGATAATTTGGTCTATTAACAAAATTAATTATTAATCAGTGTATAATCAATCACATCAAAATTTGATTAATAATCAAATCATCGATCGTCGAAATTAGTGATTTTATATATAACGATTGGTTAATTTTGATTACTTATTTGCCGATTATTTAGTCAAAAATTTGGGAAATTTTGATCGACCGATACCCAACACTGCTTCTTGTTTGTCGTCTGAATATTCGAAATTGTGTGTCATGAAATGAGACGAAGATTTTCGGGGGACTCGCAAACGCGACGCGAGAACGGCGAAACTAAAGCACCCTGTATTATAAACACGTCGAACGGATCGAGACTATTAACCAGCCAGCGGCTGAATGGGATAGAATTGATAGAGAAGTCTAATGAATATCGCGGGACACGCGGTCCCCCGGAGCATCGAACGGAATGCAACACGGGCGACGGTTATGCATGCACGTCGGAGCTAAGGCGCGGTGGATTGCAACTTGCAACTCGGCAATCGGTGAATAAATTGAGTTTGTCGAATTGACAAAAGGTCCGCGTCGACTGAGCGCGCGCAATTACCGCCGAGTCTAACGAAATTACTGTATGTAAATTATGATCTGTCGGATTAATCGAAGCGCAGTTCCGCCGTGTAGCTTTCAGACGAGCTGTGTCGTGCAATCGATAACGGAAAAGTTTCGTGTCGTTGCCGTTGTCTCACCGGAGTGAGCTCGGGTTTTTCATTGCAACGACGGCGCCTTTAATACTACACACAAAGTAAACCACACAATTATTGGCAGCCCCTTAGTTCTCGGCACTCCAGAAAAACCTGAGCTTTTCAGCGCTACAGTTAAGCTTCTTGCCTGCACTCTGCGTGACTTCAAAAGAGATCTTCGCAGACAAAACTGTGAGTCAGTGTTGGGCATTTTAGTCGATGAAAACTTTAGTTGATTAAAGTAATCGACAAATCGATCACATCAAATTAATGTCACGGACGTAATTACGATTGATTTCATCGATTGATGAAATTATCACGCTCGCTATCACGGTTTATTAGGAGAACTCTCTCCATGGATCACCTCATATCTTTTTCTTTTCTTTACATCATTGTGTAAAACATTCAGTTTGATAACATGGACATATTGTAGAAAGATACATTTTTGCTGTCGCACCTGTGTGACGCTGCACTCTGACGAGAGATCATTGCGTCATGACACACTTATATGACGTTGGCAGCGAATTTGTTAATTATTAATCAGTGTATAATTAATCACACCAAAGTTTGATTAATAATTAATATCATCAATCGATTGAATCGATTGCATATATGACGAATAATTAATTTTAATTAATACTTCGCCGATTATGTTAGTCAAAGTAAATCTTGATCAATTATTGCTCAACACTGATGCGTGAACAGACACTGCTGATCGCGAGAAAGACCAGGTTTTTCTGGAGTACCAACGACTGAGATGCCAATAATTATGTGGCTCGCCCCACTCCCGCCGATGTCCGGATAGTTTGTACGCGCGATGACAGTTTGTCTCACTCGGAATGCGAATTTCGTTCGTTACTCAGCGTCGATCGGAATCGCCGTCGCGATCGCGCGCCGCTTCCATTTACATGTATCGCGATCGTCATCGGAGCGGAGAAAAAGAAGGCGAGCATGGTCGCCTGCGTCGCTACTTAAAGGGACATAGACGAGTATCGAGTTATCCACCAGTTATCCGCGGTCACTCTGACCGCCGCCTGCACTTCCTGCTCCAATCTACCGGTTGCGACCGAGAGCGTCGTTGTCGTCGTCGTTGACGTCGCTCTCCTCTTCCTCCTCCTTGCCTTGAGATGTGACAGCCAGACCATATATCCGCGCTGACTTTTACGGGCCGGTAATAATTTATTATTTATCGAGCGTCTCGCGCTGCGTGAACGCCGATCGGTGTTTTCCGGCGATTTCCTCGCGTCAATTAGACTTACGTACGTTCGAGCACGTACACGCGACTCTCCCGCCACTGCTTTCGGCTCGTTTTTCGTCGACGCGCGCGGTGAATGATAATAACGGCGCGTGCATTGGAAGCAGATGAATCTTAATTACTTCTGGAAAGGTAATTTTAGATTACCCGGAAAAAAATCAAAGAGACGCGATTCTCGGAGGAGAAATTTCGAGAGCTGCAAAACGCTCAGAGGAAAATCGCCAAAATAAGCAATTTCGTGAGCTTTTCAAAATAATAGGTTGTACAATAAATAATTTCGAATTTTTCGGGTAAAATGAAACTTTTGTATTTTTATGTCGTTATAATCTGATGAAACATACATGTCGTTTGATCTATGATTTTCTGCTATCCTTCACATACATTTTTTTATAAGATTATAACGACATAAAAATATTAAAAAATTTGATTTTATCTAAAAATATGAAATAAATTTTTTTTTAGGTAAACTGTCTTCAGGAATTTTAAAAGTCCTAAAAAGTATAGAATAATCTTGAATCAATATTCCTACTGAATCTACAGTTCTATTCTAACGATATTAGAAGTCGGCACAAAAGCCTAACCGATTGAATTAATAATCATACTTTTTTTTTATTATTTTTGTCCCTGCAGTTAAATAGTTAATTATTGTTGTCTATATATATACCTCTCTCTCTCTCTCTCTCTCTCTCTCTCTCTCTCTCTCTCTCTCTCTCT